GCCGACTACAACATTGAGCTGTCCCGTGAAGCTTTGACCCCTCCCCCCACCTCTGCCAATCTGTTCACCAACGACGCCGACGGCGTTCATGTCGGTTACAGGTGGACTGACCCTCAATCCCGGCAGAGGTGACCCCATGACCTCTATTTACAGTCAGGATCATGTATGAGTTTGGTGGAAGGGTTTCCATTGTGCCGCACACTCTCTCTCCATCTACGTGGGCGGAAGGTTGGCACCCCATTTATAATGAGCCCCGCCAAGTCCCATCCCTCGGGCCCCCGGTGTGGCAGCGGTGGGTTGGTGCGGCATACCGGATCGCCGAGGACAAGGTTCCTGTGCCGGCCTCTTGGCAGTGAATCGGTTACATTTCTTCGGATAGTCTGGGACGTGGAGCCGGCTGCCGGTAATCTCCACTTACTCCCCCGCCACCCCCGCTGAGCGGCTGAAAGGGTGTAATTTGTTGGAGCAGAACATGCCGGTCCTTAAACAGCGAGACGCCGACCAGCGCCGGCCCGGCCTGTTTGTGCCAGGCAATCAGCACAAGATTGTTTAACGGGACCGAGATGAGAGCTCATGGCGGTCAGTCCCGATACACGGCGGCCCCCGGATGTATGTGGCCCCTCCTTTCCATATAGCGATCACCAGGGCGCTACTTCATGACTTTGGATAATTCAGGAGCACATTGAAATGAATGGGCTGCCAACGCACCCTGATGTGCCCCAAATCGGATGTGCGCCATGTTTGGCTCCACACAACAACGCACTAGAGATGTGCTGCCTTAGTGCAAAATGACATGCGTCACCACAGTAGAGTCAATGCGTCCTGAAGACTAGAAATTTCCATAGCCAAGATGTGCTGAAAATCATAAAACGCGATAATCCGTGATTGTGGGGGAGTTCTCGCCGTGTGGATTGTGCGCCAATGATGACAGGCGCCATCGGAAGAGATCGGGTGTTTTTCTGGTTGCTATGGGTTATGGCTCCAGTTTTGGTGATGTCTATCTCTTGTAGGGGGGTGAGGGGCGCCTAAAACAATGAGTCACAGAACTGGATGGTTCAGATCCAATCTTTTATTGATGAAGACTGTAAAAATACCGCCGACGCGTTTCGGGGCTCATAAATAAGTTGTATGAGAGTTTCTGTACAATTGGTGTCTATGGAGCGTTCCGCTGTGCAGTCACATGCTCCTCTCTATGGCCCTGGCAGTCACATGCTCCTCTCTATGGTCCCGGCAGTCACATGCTCCTCTCTATGGCCCAGGCAGTCACATGCTCCTCTCTATGGCCCCGGCAGTCACATGCTCCTCTCTATGGCCCTGGCAGTCAGTTGCTCTCTCTCCATCCTCCGGTTCCTCCTCCGGGCCCCCCTCCTCCGGTTCCCCCCTCCTCCGGTGCCCCCTCCTCCGGTTCCCCCCTCCTCCGGTGCCCCCTCCTCCGGTTCCCCCCTCCTCCGGTGCCCCCTCCTCCGGTTCCCCCCTCCTCCGGTGCCCCCTCCTCCGGTTCCCCCCTCCTCCGGTGCCCCCTCCTCCGGTTCCCCCCTCCTCCGGTGCCCCCTCCTCCGGTTCCCCCCTCCTCCGGTGCCCCCTCCTCCGGTTCCCCCCTCCTCCGGTGCCCCCTCCTCCGGTTCCCCCCTCCTCCGGTGCCCCCTCCTCCGGTTCCCCCCTCCTCCGGTGCCCCCTCCTCCGGTTCCCCCCTCCTCCGGTGCCCCCTCCTCCGGTTCCCCCCTCCTCCGGTGCCCCCTCCTCCGGTTCCCCCCTCCTCCGGTGCCCCCTCCTCCGGTTCCCCCCTCCTCCGGTGCCCCCTCCTCCGGTTCCCCCCTCCTCCGGTGCCCCCTCCTCCGGTTCCCCCCTCCTCCGGTGCCCCCTCCTCCGGTTCCCCCCTCCTCCGGTGCCCCCTCCTCCGGTTCCCCCCTCCTCCGGTGCCCCCTCCTCCGGTTCCCCCCTCCTCCGGTGCCCCCTCCTCCGGTTCCCCCCTCCTCCGGTGCCCCCTCCTCCGGTTCCCCCCTCCTCCGGTGCCCCCTCCTCCGGTTCCCCCCTCCTCCGGTGCCCCCTCCTCCGGTTCCCCCCTCCTCCGGTGCCCCCTCCTCCGGTTCCCCCCTCCTCCGGTGCCCCCTCCTCCGGTTCCCCCCTCCTCCGGTGCCCCCTCCTCCGGTTCCCCCCTCCTCCGGTGCCCCCTCCTCCGGTTCCCCCCTCCTCCGGTGCCCCCTCCTCCGGTTCCCCCCTCCTCCGGTGCCCCCTCCTCCGGTTCCCCCCTCCTCCGGTGCCCCCTCCTCCGGTTCCCCCCTCCCCCCCGTCCGGTGATGGTAATTGAATTGAAGCCGTACATATGGCTGGGCCCCTTGGAAAGGTGTTTCCATTAAAGAGAGAGCTGGGCTTTGAATTGGAGTGTGTGGCTGGGTGACCCCGGGGGGTCACTCTGACTCCTCGGCCCTCCAGGATAATTGGCATCTAGACGGCGGCTCCAGCCCGGCTCTCAGACGTGGCCGGCATGCATCTATCAACTTCAAAGGCTCAAACGCACTTTCTAAGAGACGGGAATTGATTTTCGCAGAAGCTGGAGGAGGCCGGCTCTCCTGGGGGTCTTCCTGCTGCTCGCTTTGCAGACGAGGAGAGCGCGTTATATACAGCGGCTGTCACATGACGCCGCCATCCGCTCTGCCTGCAGAAATCCCACAGCTCACTTGTGCCAACTTAGACTATAAATGGAATGTAGCCGTGACCTGTGCCGTGACCGACTGCAAATGCCTGCCGGGCAAAGACATGAGGGGACTTCCTCTACTCTGAGGTATAGGATGGAGAGTCAACCTGTGCCGCCTTGTCTGGTATAAGGACTGAGAGCGGAGCTGTGCCGCATTGTCTGGTATAAGGAGTGAGAGCGGAGCTGTGCCGCCTTGTCTGGTATAAGGACTGAGAGCAGAACTGTGCCGCCTTGTCTGGTATAAGGACTGAGAGCGGAGCTGTGCCGCCTTGTCTGGTATAAGGACTGAGAGCGGAGCTGTGCCGCCTTGTCTGGTATAAGGACTGAGAGCGGAGCTGTGCCGCATTGTGTGGTATAAGGAGTGAGAGCGGAGCTGTGCCGCCTTGTGTGGTATAAGG